TTTAAAACAGTTTTATGGTCGATTTTTAGCTCCTTGGCGATGTTACGATTGCTAATATGCCGATCGACTTCGATCATTTCTGCGATTTTATCGAATTTTTCGACGACCGGCCTAATAGATTTTTTTCCCCAACCTAATATTGTATATTCAAACATCAAGTTTAAGGCTACAGTCGACGCCCGGCATAACGAATACTCAGTTTAACGAACTCGGGATATAACGAATGAGCAAAATAGTCGAATTTTTATTGTTGTTTCTAATAAAAATTGCACCTTAGAAAAACTTCGCGATATATCGAATTTTTTGTTATAACAAATAGTCCTGACAATATATCATTCGTTATACAGGACGTTGACTGTATAATCAAACTTCAGGTCGAATTATAAATTATAGGTAATCATGAGGTCCATTTCAGATTAAGTTTAGGTTCTCATGTTTATGGCACATCATATAATTCTAAAGTAACAAAAATCTGTCACAAATGAGATGCACTGACACCCCTTCTATTCCTGATAATTTAAAATATTTCTTAATAACTGATATAAATCTTTATTGATTTAATATCACCCCCCATCGAACCATAACCATATTTTTCTCTTGTCACAATCACGAATTTATCGTTATTGTTATAAATCCATAAATAACAAGCATCATTTGGTTTTTAACACTCAACAATTTGGTCTGTCTATCAGACCTCTTAATTGCTAATATTTACACTTGACTTACTTCGTTACATGACTTACATTCCAAGCGGCACCAGCATCAGTGAAACCAGCATTTAACACGGATACAAATATTTGTAGTCCTATGCTTGTGTGTTTTTTATATTCCATCTGGCCTCTATCTCGCCATGGTGGGGGAAGATTTGGTGATGGTGTGTATAACACTTACCTGTAAAAGGTGCTTACAAATTTAACACGCTGCTTTTCTGTGTAAATATACTTGGCAGGAATAAAGGCAATTGGAGGAGAGGATGGTACACTAAAGGGAACTCTTGTCTCAAAACCGTTGGGGTTGGCTCTAAACAATTTCCCTTTTAGATGTATTTCCCCTCATCAATATTTGTCATGAATTTGTAACCAATTACCAAAACATCAATATCAATGACTTCTATGGAGCAATTGATTTCAGATAAAATTCTCTTGAATAGGTCAATGACGATTTTGGCTTTTTATTGACATTTTATTTTATTTTTAATTTTGATTTTTTTTATTCACCAATTTTAAAGTAATTTCATGATTTGCCTTACCATTACTCCCTTTTTCTTTGGCTATCTGGCTCATCAAGATGTTTGGACATAGTTTTTAATTAACTTTTTTGTGTGTTCCGTTTCAACACCCTCTTAATTTCATCTGCTAGACATATTTTCCATAAATTCTGTTCCATTATTTTGGGTGAAAATGTTGTATATTTTTTCTGAGTTTTGTTCTTTTTTGCTCAGATGGCTCATTCAAATCTTATCTGTGAAGTAATAAAATCCTTAAAAAAGTCTTTAACACTTCAACACTTCTTAAGGTTGTTTTTCTATTGTGTCCTGATGATGATTTTATAGCAACAGGATGTCTTCAATGGTTTTTTATTAGATTTTTTTCACTCATTTTCATAGAATTTTTTTATTCGGTCCAAGCTGTGTTTTCGTTTATCAACACACGCCATCTCGTTATGAAAAAAAAACGAAACGAAACAAATGTTTTCCAAAAAAAAAAGAGGGAGAAAATGACACGCAAAAAAAGAAGAACTTTCCTTACAGTCCTTTTGAACTAAAGTCAAGTCAATGTTAAGATACTTAGCCATTTGGCTTTGTTGACCACTGAGGGTGGTGAAATGCTCCGTGTTGGTCCTTCTGTTGCTGCTGCTGTGCAAAACAAAGGGCGTTAGAGGCCACACATAATCTGATGGTTTTATCGCCACTTGCCTGAACTTTACTCCAAGTGGCCGGTAATAACCTTAAAATGTCTTTATTTGTAAGTTGCATAAAAAGACGAAGGAAAGGTTTTATTTTTTGGATTTTTTTGTTCTTTCGTTGAAAATAATTTGAATATATTTTTGAAGAAATTCCATCTAATAAGCTTTGTCTAGCCACTTTAATCGTACTTGGAATATGTTAATTTTTATGAAATATTTTTTTGGTCATCAGGGTATTGAGATAAGCTCGGGTCTAACTGTAATCTAAGTTTGTTGATTATTGAAAATGTATCAGTTTCGGAAAGGATCGTATCCTATATTCAACAGTAAGCAGGAAACCCCTTCATTAGGTTCGGTTGTGGCACATTATTTTTTAATTAATCGCATGTAATAATTTTCATATAAACAAGAAGGGCCTTCAACAGCTGGGAGCATTTTGGAAACAAATAGTATTAATTCATCAAGAAAATTTATTACCGCGTCACAAGTCAGCGCAAATCGATTAGGTTGTATACACTTTCATGTGACAACAATGTGATTCATCGAAATATTGGTTTTAGACCCCATGTTTCTTTGGGCCAAATCCGTTTCATACAATTTGGAGTCCAATTATAAATCTCCGTCCGTCTGTCTTGCTGTTTGTCTGGCCGTCTATCGAAGGGATTAACCGATTTCATCCATACTTTGCACAAACTTAGTTCAAGTTCGAAAATGGGGAATATCGGTCCACTCCTTCTGGTACCTCCCCCACAAAATAGCCAATGTTGTGCAAACATTTTAATTTTATAATATCATGCGAACAGACTATCCACTCCTTCTGGTACCCTAAAATCCCTAAACATTTTGAATAAAAATTCCGAACTCTTTTAATTTACCCCCAGCGAAAGCATTTACCACGGCCGGAATCTTCATAATACGGCAATATACGAACCTTTGTTGTAATTTTTATAGTCAACTTGTAAGGTTTTGCTGTTTGGAAAATTACTCTTATGACCATATTGTAATGAGCGGGACCTTCACATGAGGGTTATGTCGAGCCACATTGAAATTTTTATACGAAGATGTTTCATATCATCCGATAAATCGAAATGCCGTTTAAAGTACCTTGAGGGAAAATGCGGCTTAAAAGGCTTCAAAAAGAAAAAAAACGGAGCGAGGTACCGTTTTGTGAAAACCATTCTTTAATGTGGACCGATAAAAGCAATGTACAGTCGAAATCGCTTATAAAGAGGCTAAGGTGAAATAGTTCGCTATATGCGATATGTCGTTATAAACAGTATTTAATAAACGGCAGGACTTCTCTAGGGACTTTTGCACTTTCGTTGAAAACGCGTTCGACTGTATGTGCAAATTTTCAAAGGGGGTCAATTATTTTTATATATTATTTCGGTTTTACTGTATAATTTTCAGATATTGGCCAAAACCATGCTGACATTGGCTATGAAATATTAAACTCTGACCTGCTCCAATGGGACATAGCTGTTTATCAAGGATTAGGATATGACGAGGAAACCAAAACCCTGTAACCATTGCATGAGTCAAGACTTCTAAAAAATTTTCGCACGATAGTTTGAATCTGATATAAAGGATCCGTCGTAACTGCTGAGCTCAGTGGAAGCTGTAGTGATAAAAATCGTGTTTTTCTATGTTTTATTCTTTTTTCTCCCTTTATTGGTGTTTGTTGTGAGTTCAAATTTTGGAGTTTATTAGATCGTATCAGAAGGTTCTCCAATCCACTACCTTGTCGACAGGTGGAGTAATAATGGCAAAAAATCGAAACACTTTTAACACATGGATATATTCGGTTACAAAATTAAGTAGAAAAAAATGCTTATATCGAATAACACGAATTCCTTAAACTCAAAAATATTTATTATTTTTTCACACAGTATACATTTCATATTCTAATATTACATTCCATTGTGGTGTTCAACATGCAATTGGATTCAATTCACATTTCGCCTATCATCAACAAAAATATTAGCATAAGTCCGTTGATTTTAATTTCGGCATTTATGGCCTTTTCATTGTCATTCTTGTGAAATTCATTTTTATTATTTTGTCTTTATTTCCAAATTCCCCTAATCCTTTTTTGTGAAACTACTACTGGTAATCTTTGTTTGCATTTGGCGGGTTGTAATTTCCAAAGAATTTCTAGCACCTTTTTTCCCACCACCACCTCCACAATACCTCACACCCCACAATCCTCGCCGCTTTACTTATTTTCTCATTGCAATAATTACCGTTTTTTTTTAATTTTCCAACATTCTCTTGTTAACGGTTTTTATTGCCCGACGACATTCCTGACTGCAAAATAAATGAAAGTATTTGTTTTCTTAACTACTTCTTGGCCAACAGATAAGCAGCATCTTCTGCAGTATGCAAAAAGGCTTCGCTTATTTTTTTGGCATTTTTATGTATCCTTGTTGCCTTGCCTTGTCACGGTTGTAGCTTGCATTGTGTGTGTGTGTGTTTGTCGCAAAGATGTCCTTTTTTGTAGCCAATTTATTGCTTAACGACCGCATGTCACTTGATTTGTCTCAAGACCGAGAGACCTACCAACCATCATCCATCCCCAGCATTTAAATGAAGTGGCCGTGATTTAATTAAAAATCACATTTTTTTGCCCCGAATATCTCGATTTTTATTAAAAAACTGAGAATCTTTTTTGGTGGTAATAATTTCGTTTCACATTATTTAAGGCGTTTTTTGTTGTTGTATTTTATCTTAATGTTTTGGCCACTTCCTTCCAAGGTTGTGCGAGTAAATGAGTGGTAATTTTATGATTCAATTATTTCGTTGGCTTTGATGGTCGACCGACGTCTGTCAATGGCTGGGTTGGCTTTGTTTGACACACTTTTGTCATTGTGACATTAAGGGTATCATGGACTCTGTTTTTTTGCATTTTTTATTTTCCAACAAAAGGGAAATTACAGAGTTTTGTTTTTTTATTAAAAAATATAGAAAATTTTGATACAAAAAATGCACTTAGAAATCTACATTTAAATGCGTTTTTTTTTAACTTAATATTCAGACTTTAGCAGGGCGAAATTAAGGCATTGTTATTGTCTCTGGGTCACAGTTTTCTCTTTGATTTACATTGACATGATGGTCTTTTTAATAATATCCACACTCTCCGACATTTGTTCTTCATTGATTACCAAAGGTGGGGCAAGGCGAATAATATCACCATGGGTGGGCTTGGCCAATAAACCATTTTCCTTCAATTTCAAACAAACTTCCCAGGCATCATATTCTGTGAAAAAAATAAAGTAAACATAATTAAAAATCAGATCATTTCAAAATTTTAATCCCATTTCAACTTACTTGCATTGATAACCATGGCATTCATGAGACCTTTGCCTCTAACTAGAGATACCACATCCTTGGGCAATTTATTCAATTCATTTCTCAATAATTCACCCATTTTGTATGCATTTGCAGCTAATTTCTCTTCCTGCAAAACTTCCAAGGCAGCCATAGCAACTCGGCATCCCAATGGATTGCCACCATATGTGGAACCATGTTCACCGGGTTTAATGCACAACATAACTTCATCGTTGGCCAAAACGGCAGACACTGGATACATGCCACCGGACAATGCTTTACCCAAAATCAAAATATCGGGTTTTACGCCTTCATAATCGACGGCCAACATACGACCAGTACGTGCCAAACCGGTTTGTACCTCATCGGCAATCCATAGCACATTCTTTTTGGTACACAATTCACGTACCTTCTTCAAATAACCATCATCGGGTACCACAACACCAGCTTCACCCTGAATGGGTTCAATCATAAAGGCACAGACATTGGGATCTTCCAAGGATTTCTGTAAGTACATGAATTATTTTTTCTATTTATTTATATATGTATATGTAATATTTCCGAACTTACCTCCAAGGCTTGAATATCATTGTATTTGATAATTTCAAAGCCAGGCATAAATGGTCCAAAACCTTCATAACTGCTGGGATCAGTCGAAGCTGAAATGGCTGATAAGGTTCTACCCCAGAAATTGTTTTCGGCAAAGACAATCTATAAAAAATAGGAAAATTTAAGAAATTAGGAATATGTTTAAGAACCCGGTATGCCACTTTGGTTGGACGTAATTACGTATCGAAATATCAGGGATTTGGGTAAATAAAGTAGTGTAGAAAAACACATTACCGCAAAGATTTTCTGTAGAACATTAACATTTTGTAATGTATTCTAGGAGAAAATTCAATTCAGCTAAGTTTTGGTGTAGAAAAATAAAATTCAGCAAGGTTTATTTATAGAAACGCATAATTCAACAAAGATTTTCTGTGAAAAAACTCCATTCAGCAGAGGTTTTATGCAGAAAAACTAAATTCAGAAAAGTATTTCTTTAGGAAATCACAATTTAGTAATCTTTTCTATAAAAAAACACAATTCAGCCGAGTTTTGTTTTAAAAAAATACAATTCAGCAAGGTGTTTTCATAGAAAAATACACATCAGTAAAGATTTTCGGTGAAAAAACTCTATTCAGCAAAGGTTTGAATTGATAAAAACAATTCAGCAAAGATAATTCGATGGAATAACTTAATTAAATGAAGTTTTCTCTACAGCAAGGATTTTCTAATAGAGAAACAGAATTTATTTAAAATTCAGCAATGTTTTTTGATAGAAAGACACTATTCAGCAAAGTTTTTCTTTAGAAATTCTTAGTTCAGCAAAGTTTTTCATCAGTAACAAAATCAATTCAGCAGCTTTTTTAGAGCATATTACAAGGTGTTGCAAACTGAGTTACGAATTTGCCATGCACTCTTCCATATATCGTGTATATAAAAGTGAGGCCCAACACATTTCATTCGGTCAGTTTGGGGTTCTACAACAACCGGCAACAATTGTAGAGACTGTATCTTAAATATGGTCAAAAAGTCAGAACATAAATTTCTTCAAAATACCCGAACCCTCAGATGAAGTTTTGCTTTAAAACGAAGGAACTCTCAAGATTTGGGGCAAAATAAGCGGTCGAGGTCCTCATAATAGCCAAGAAAACTTCATATGGAAATTTGTGATCTCTAGGATCTTAACAGCCCTGACAAATTCTATTTAACATAAACGTTGATGGCATCTTTCTTATCGCCGAGCCCGTGAGGTTCCAAACGGCAACTTTAATTTGTACATTTTATGAGATGAAGTAATCAGAAATATCTTCAGAGTTAAGGAACGTGTCTGAGCACCCCAAGTTTTCGATAAGTCAATTAAATATCTTCGAACTAACCTCTCAAGAATAGTGGAGAATTACTGAAGCCCTCTTACCACTCATTTAATTTAAAAATTCTTAAAGATTTTTAAAATTTGCAATGACTTACCTTAGCTTGATTCTTAGGGATATTTTTCTTGGTGTAGGCCCACTTTCTGGCCAATTTGCAGGCAGTTTCGCCACCTTCAACGCCAGTGTTCATTGGCAGAACTTTGTCATATTTGAACAATTTGGTGACATATTCTTCGTATTCACCCAGAACATCCGAATAGAAGGCACTAGTAAAATAAAAAATAGAAAAAAATAAAATTAGACAAAATCACTTATGTTTTGGATTTTTCAAATCAATCTGTTAAAACATTAATTGCGATAAGACATGACCTATGCGTTTGGTAGATTATTGTGGGCCAAAACAATCAACGAAACACTATCAGTTAATCGTCTATATTGGCGCGATAAGAAGAGCTACTCCACGTATACAATTGTTTTCAAAATATACTCCAGGGTAATGATAATTGTTTTATTTTTAAATTTCGACTCGTAGTCTCTGGGTAACATTGTGCTTATCTCATATTCTTGGCTTCTGGATTGTTTTTTTTTTTTTTTTGCTGGACTTCTTTAGAAAACTTTCCACTACTCCTGTCTATTTTTTTCTTACATGTATTTTCATTTACTTACCGTGATGTCAAGGCCAACACTTGAGCCTGTTCGGTGAGAGCTTTAATAATTTTTGGATGACTATGACCTTGATTGACAGCCGAATAAGCGCTCAAATAATCAAAATAACGCTTGCCCTCCACATCCCAAACAAAAACGCCCTTGGCTTTGCTTAGGGCCACGGGTAGGGGATGATAATTGTGGGCGCCGTATTTATCTTCGCGTTCGAAAACTTGTTGCGAAGTTATCTGACGGCTGGCAATTGTTGTGCCGGCGGCGGGTGTGTAAAGGCGGGGTGCCAATCTGGTTGTTAATTTTGAGAACATTTTTTTCTGTAGAAAGAAAACAAAAAAAAAACGGCGTTCATTAGTGTCATTTGCATGGCCAAACACGAATTCTTTACTTTAGTTTCCAATTTGACATTGATGCCGTTTCGTGGGAAAACAACACGGAAAACACTTGACACTTATTTGTCGTTTATGCTTACCTTAACAGAAATAAAACAACAATAACAGCAACAAAAACAAAGAAATTTCAATATCACAAATCTACGATTCAAGATTTTTTTTCAGTCTGTCGGACTGCTTCTGTTCGTATGAATGAAATTAAAAACAAAAGTGACGTCACAAAAATTTATTCAAAGCGCGATAGCAGCGACCCAATGCAATTCGTTGTGTCCAAAGTGAGTGACAGCCAGCTCAAGACTAATTTAAACGAAAACTGGATAGAACCGCTCACAGTACTGATCGGCAGTATTCAATAATCAAATAAAGCGGTCGGACTATCTACGAAACATAACAATTAAATGTTGGCATGGGTGTTTTTCCTTATCAGTTGGAGAATATTGAAAGAGATTTTGAAACGAACCTGAACAGTGCTCACTCGCTCTCCTCTCTATCTCTTTTGGAACTATGTTTGCAGAGATTAGGGGTCGTTTATTCCCCTCAACAAATTATTGTGTTTTTTATTTTCTATATAATTTGTTAGATCTACTGATAATAGAAACACATTTTTAAATATATAAATATATTTCTTAATTGAGGTTTAGCTGACTGTTTCTCAGGTCCGCAATTAATTAGCTAGAGGTCACAGAAGTTTTCTGTAAATCAGAAGAAATCTTAAGAGGTCTTATATAGATTTGCGAAAGAAGTAAATGTTGTATTTGCCAATAGGATAGTACAATACCTCAGAGATCTTCTATAAGTCCTTAAGAGTTCTATAAAGATCTTATATAGAACTTCAGGCCTTACAGAATTACGAGGTATATATACGGTTTTCATAATTTATTAAAAAGGACCCGTATGGACGTCGAAGGTCGGTTATATGTCGGCTGTTGAAAAAAATCTTTGTTGTATCAATGAAACAGTTTCAGGCTTTTTAAAGGGCCATAAAAGTGATGAAATTGTTCATTAATGCCTTACCACATATTATTTAAGATTATTTTGGATATTTTTCCCAGGTCTGCGGAAAGTTATTAATTGGTCAATAGAAGAAGATCTCAACGGCATTATGTACTTAGAGGTATTTTATAGGTCAGTATATCACCTTCGAGCCTTCTATTGACCAGTTCTACAAAGTAAAAGGACCCTATAGTAGAGTATCCTACACGTTAGTTGGCCGCAAATGCTTTCAAATGACGGTAGGAATATTGGACCTTCTTTTATAAGGCATTTCTTCCCAGAGAACTTAATGTATTAATACACGTCAGTAGTATAATATTCTGACTGTTGGCCTTAAAGTCTTTTAAATGTCAAAAGGATCCTTTTATAGCGATATGTAAGACATAAGTGACCGTAGAAAACATAAATGTATATTTTGGGACCTCCAAAGCTTCAACGTTTCTGTCAAGCAACATGTTGCCAAACAAATTTTCTTTATGTCTACTGCAAATCCTTTACGTTATTTTAAGGATGTTATTATTTTCCCAGATTTCATTCAAAGCCATCTGCAACCACATATATTTATTGTGCCACATTCAATTCCCTTGTTTGTTGCTACGCTATTGTCAACATGTTGCCGGTCTGCGTTGTTGCTACAATTTCTTTATTCAAACTCAGAAGCCTAATAATTGGATGTAGGGAACCTCATAGTGGTTTAGTAGATGGCATTGAAGGTCAATTGGTTACCATACGCAAGTGGAATATTCTAGGTGACTTCGATTAATCAATCGACTTATTTGGTCACCAAGGTTTTCTATTGGTCAGTTTTGCCACTCAAAGGTCTAATACATATGTAGCTGTAGAGGACCTCATGATGATTTAGGAAAGGCCTCAGAGTTCTTCTATTGATCAGAAGAAGCTTTCGAAGTTCTATTCCCCGATCTATCACATTTTTGTAGGTAACATTCGCTTTGTTTCGACACAAATTTTATTCTAGATTTCTAGCATTTTGAGATCTGAGAACATGAAGTAGTTGTCCTAGTAACTACTCCATGTTCGCAGATCTGGATAATGTTGTGGATGGACTGTAACACTTTAGAAGAAAATTCCAGAACTTACCTTGGCAAACCCCATTATAAATAAAACAATTCTCAACTCAAATTTTCGTTAGTACTTTGTTATTTATTTTCTTGTTGCTGTTTTTTTTTTATTTTCTTTTAAAATATGTGTATTTCTTGGGGATTTCTTTGTTTGCATAAATTTAAAATATTAAATTTTATTATTACAATTATTTTAGTTAAAGTTAAAAATTAAATTAAATTAAATAACAATTACACATACATATATATATTTTTTATATTTAATACATTTAGGGCAAATATATGTTTCTTAAGCCTTTGAGTAAAAATTATCTAACAAAAATTAGGGAAACACAAAAAACGATTTAGAAAATAGTACACAAAGAGAGTTTAAAAAGGGAAACTTAAATACGTATTTGTTGTTGTTGTTTTTTTTACAATCCAATCTATACTTAGTTACTAGACAAAAACAAAATGTACATAGATTTTTTTCTTGTTATAATTTTTATACATAAAAGTCAAGGTTGCTTTGTAATGTTATAGGGGGTCTTAACTTATTTTCTTTCATTAACTACATTTAAATTGCTATTTAATATTTATTTTCTTTTTTCTTCTAATAAATTCTTTATACGTTTTTTTGTTATTCTTTGTTGTGTGGGTAAAGGGGGGGGGGGGGGGGCTTCTATAGATTGCATAAATTATGAAATTCTTATGTTAATACATGCTTCCTTCCTTTTTGTGTAATATGGCTTTCTTTTAAAGATAAAATGTTGATGATTGTATCTGTTTTTGGCAACATGTTGCAACGTGTGGTTGTCTAAATCCTTCTTTATCTCCCCTTAATACCGAGAAGAAATATTAACGGATCGATATTGAAATCTGCTGCTTAAATACAGTCCCGGCTACATGTTGGTATATTTCCATGATTTAATAATTCACTTCGTATTCAATTGGCTTCTGTCAATCATCATGTTGCTATACAAATGTTCTTGATGTTATCTCAAAACCCTTTTGCGATATATTTCAGGATTTTACAACTTTCTCAGATTTCTTTCAATCTCATCTTTATCCTTATATAACTATTTTGTCACCTTAACTTTCCTTGCTTGTTGCTACACTATTGTCAACATGTTGCTGTGATGTTGCTTGCTGCTGGCATGATGTTGTTGCTTGCTTCTCAGTGCTACCAATTTCGGTTTGTTGCTGTTGTTGATGGTGTTGTTGTTGTTGCAGCTGCTGCTGCTGTTGAATTTCCTTATTCAAACGATAACTGCTCATAACATTGGCACAACTTTGATGGAAATAAAAATTACGTCCTCTTAACAATGTATCCGTGGCAAAGTCCTTTATACCTGTCTTAATGATAGAACATTGATCACAAGTTAAAACAACAACATTAACCATATTTTTCTTTTTGTTGTTATAAAATTCCAAAATCAAAAATGTGTGAACAAATTGCCTTTGCAGACCCTAACAAAACTGAAAAAATTACCTTACAAATGAAACATTTGTTATCATCATCATTGTCGGGTTTAATATCCGAACTATTTCCCACCTTTGAGTCCAATTGTTGTTGTGTGAGTCCTGGTGGTATGAGACCAGGATGGGATGATGGCGGTGGTGGCACTTGTCCATGGCCATGATGTCCATTGGGTGAGTCTCTTTCCAGTTGATGGTGAGACATTTGATGTAACTGTTGTTGTTGTTGCTGCTGCTGGTGGTGTGAAAGGTGCTGTTTATTTCTCAAATCTTCAAATGCAGTGTATTTTGTAGTGTTGTTGTTATTGTTATGGGAATTCTCCAATGTTGTTTCGGTACTTGTGACCTGGGGTTCTGAACGTGGCCGCTCTTCAACGGGTGAGGGGTTATTTGAAATTCTAAAAATTTAAATGCTTCATTAGTTATTGTTTCGTAAACCCTTCGACTCTTTGCTTACCGGCTACTGCCCACCATGGCCTCGTCATATTTCCGTTTCTTATTATAGCTGGCCATTTTAATGGAATCATCATCATCCACAATGACATCCTCATCGCTGTCGTTATTACATGTATCCATGGACATATCCTTGGCAGTACGTTCCTCATTACACGAGTCGGCATTGTAGTAATGATGGGTGGTCGAAGACAGTTCGCTAACATTTTTAACTGCAGATCAAACACGATAATTAGATTTTAAAATCTGCCCAATATGAGGAGTGATATAAATATTTACCTGATATATGACCTTGGCTAACATTTGTATGGCTATTGTTATTCGGATTATGAGCATCCGTCCAGTTTGTGGTACTACCAGCACTGCTGCTATTACTGCTGTTACTACCACTGGTTGTGGTAGTTGTGGCCACATTTGTGCTAATATCCTCTTCCGTCGTCTGATGATGCATACTATCCTTACTTATGGTACAATTGGCAGTCCTATACAAAATGCCATCCAATTTTCCCGGTTGACTGTTGCTATTGTGTAAATTTGCTCCACCAGGAGTTGTGGCACCACTTCCACCATTTGAACTGCTATGGCTACTACTATGGCTGCTACTCCCACTAAGTGCTGGCATATGGGCATGATGTACCTGTGACGACAATTCGGAATTTGAATCAGGTACATCGTCATTGCACGACTCCACATCGACAGTTTCAATTTCGTCTTGCTGTTTATTCTCGTCTTCGGGAAGTTTGCCACCTGTCTCCAGGGCATATTTCCGTTTGCAAATCGGACAGGAGTTACAGAACATATTCTCCATGAAATACATATCGCCATATTTACGCTTACGTACTTTGATGCGTAAGCGATTTTGACGATTGTTGCGGATTCTTTGGAAGGTCTGGGGAGGAAAAGGGAAAATGATTAAATTTAATCATTTAATTCACTAAATAAAATTATTTTTTTAACATACCTCCCAACGATTATGACTTGTCCGAATGGCATTCTCTTGTGAGGGGCAGGGTTGTGCAAACATATAAGTGGCCTGTAAATTCGTTCTCTCCATGCCAGAACTCAGCTTATACAAACGATCCAATTCTGTTAGAAAATGTGAATTCCATTCATCCGCCGATAGTTTAATGCCACAAACGGGACACATATCTGGTATATGGCCTGGTGGTGGCCTTAATCCGGGCGGACCACCTAAACCCAAACTATGGCTCATGCTAGCCGCTGCCAACAAACTACTATTCGGATGATGGTGATGATGATGAGCACTGAGTGGGGGTAAATGATGCGGTACATGATGTGGTGGAGCATGGGGATGATGAGCATGGTGGGCGGCCATGTGGGATGATACTGTGGCCGATGAAGCGGCCGCTGCCGCCTGTGACGAGGCAATAGAGGCCACAGCTGCGGCGGCTGCTGCTGATACAGCGGCCATTGAAGAGGCACATGATGTTGAGGGTTTGTCACTGCGATGGGCATCTATTCAAAAAAAGAATAAAACAAATGTGATTTTATTTAATTTGTTTTTGTGGGGGATAATCTTTACAACAACAATAAATCTTGAAATTATTTGTTTTACAAATAGACGCGACCTTCTGGTATTCAATTGGAATAGTTTAAATGTTTGTTATTATTGTTTTTGTTTTTTTGAATGTAACAATTTCTATGCCACAGTAGCACCCAAAAAAGTGTCTGTTCGGTTGTCTGCCTTTCTGCGGGTGTTTGTGTGCTTGTGTGTCTAATGGCCATAAATATTGTTCGAATTTATGCAGGAATTCCGAATGGATTTTTATGTGTTCTCTTTTTTTTCGTTTGGGGAAAAAATATTACAATTTTAATTGCTTTCTAAATATTTTCAACACGTATTTTGATACGCGAGACTAGGACTGACACAGTCTCTCCCCCGTTCGCTCTCTCTTCTTTCATTCAAATGTGTGATAATTCATTTTGGCTTAAAGCCCACTCAATTGAGGGGTGAGCTGCAGTAAAATGCCATGATTTAATTTTGTTTTAAAATAAATCACAGCAGGTTAGCTGATTGTTTTTGTTTTTGTTGTTGCATTTCCAAATTATATAATTGGCAACTGACAACTGACATTTACAGACCAACAAAAACAACAAAAAATACTTTGTAACGTTTCTTTTTTGCGTTTACGCGTCTGTACCCACCATTGACCACAGTATGGCAGGACACAGCAAAAGGTCAGCAGATAGGAAAAAAACTCAAATGACCAGTCATCCAGCCATATAACCAACCTCTGCTTGTTACCACTTGTCATATACGTGATTTTAACACCAAGCTGGGAAAAACAAATACAACAACAAGCAGAAGTCAGCAGCACGTATGCCAAAACCAACAATAACCACAATCATTCAACCAGCTATACATAGATATTCATGCTGCTGCATTCATCAGACATTAATTTAATGGTTTTGTTGGCGAACAGGACTAACAGCTTTCCGAATTTTTGAAAAAAATCTGAAGGACTTAAAAAAAACATCCCGGGTTCTGTTGGTCTATTAAAAAATTTAGGTTTCCTTGTCTCTCACCAAAAATTTAATATGGTCACATCCGCCATTTGCATGAAGGACATTCAAAAATTACTTTCACAAATGGTCAAGTGGCCATCTTGCATGAAGGACATTAAAACAGGTTTGGATCAATCTATCGTTCTGCGGCATATTTAACTTTCAGGTGAACAGATCAAGGAAACCGCGTACAAAAAAAATTAATTTAGTTTTCAATAATTTCATTTATTCAAATTAATTTTTAAATTGGAGTTAATCCATTTTGTCTAGGGAACGGTAAATATTAAAATGTTATAAATTTGTTTTGTATTATTATGTCGACAAATACGATTGTACATATATGACTGTAATGATGTGTAACAAATTGATGTAGGCCCCAAAAACATTAGGGGTGCTCACGAAGATTTCAAAATAAACAAATTGAAATTTAGAAGCGTCATTGGATCTATAAATTGCCTCCCATCTCAAAGCTCCTCTTATTTTAATATAGGCTCACATTTTTACATAGAGGCCATATGGAGGTCCAACCTAATGTTTTAAAATATTTTGAAAGTCTTATTTGCCTTTTCCTGACCATAATTCGGTTATGACATGCAAAAAGAAAATTATCAATATAGAACTTTTTTCGTCAGTCCCCAGTTAATGGATCCATCCCATTTAAATTACATTGAAGGTCTGAAAGGCATTCTAAATGACTGTAATATGGTATTTCGGGTTCTTCTTAATTAGGTTTAGTCGTGATTTATTCCATTTTGGGCCATCCCTAAAAACTTTTTGATGAAGTCTCCATATGAAACCTACACCTGAATTGGGATATTTTGACTAAAACTAACCGACCTGAAGAGGATCTGGGGCTAGATTCGAAATAATAGTCTACGCTGTCTTAACCCTTAGTGAACAATGTCCCACCAATAACCTAATGTTAAAAATACTCGACTATTTTTTTCTGAGAATTTTATTATTAATATTTTTTTTTGATACACCCTAATATTTATTTTATTATTATAACCACGACATTGTCTGACCTCTGGATAACCATCCATTCCATTCATTTTGGCTAACCATTTAGCAAACCAATATTTTTATATATTTAAATATAAATAAATTGTTGTTATTATTTTTGCTGTTGACAAGGGCAACTCGCGTATGCAACGAATTGCAAGCAACCAAAACGTCATTGCCGGCATTGTTGTTGTGGCAACAGAAATGGCAAATTGTTGTTGTTCCTGCTGCCGTTTACACACATGAGATCCTAGGACTGATTGGCCGTTTATTGTTTTTGGGCTAAATGGCCACAATCAACAAAATGAAAACATCGAAAAAGAAACAAAATGTCAGCCCATACCCTCAGGGGAATAGGGACGATACACTGGGGCCAATTTGCAATGGATATAGCGTCCGTTAAATTCATATACACTACAACTCCCAACTGGTTGGAATGCGATTTTAGATTACATGTTTAGAAATCATAATAGTAATTTCACAGATCGCTTGATGCGACTGATACCGATACTGCTGTTGCTGCTAAATTCTATGCAATTATTAAAGGTTGTGTTGTTTTTTTCTTGGTCACATGTATGAATTTTAATATAGAAATTCCACAAACCCATCATCCATCAAATTATTAGAACTCACACCAGACGAACTTACAAAAGGTGAAAAAAGTGAGTGAGGGTTGGTGTTATGGTCAGGGGGTAATTGCTTGAAAATTAGCTGCCAAGGAAGTGTGTAATATGATGGCATACAATAACAAATTGGCAGAGGAAATATTTTTGTAGACATGAAGAAAAAGTGAAATGAAGTTCTTATAGTTCTTTGGGAGGGGTAATATTAAAATATTTTATTTCGCAGATAAATATAGTAGTTGGAAAATATAATAATAAAAACTGTTACAGATCAAAACTTTGGTTATAAAAATCGTAAGGAGGGCTAAGGGCACAAGCCCTATCGCCTAGTATTTTTAAGTTTTTAGCAGGAATCTCCAACTGAAGTGCCTTTAGTTTGGCATTTTGGGCTCTGACATGCTAAAAAATTTATATTAGAAAGTTTTTAATATACTTTCAGATTTTCGTATAGCTTTAAATTGCCATGTTGGGATCTCAAGTGCTAAACGCTCTTTTTTAAAAAAAATCTTAATATTGGTTCATATTTTGGCATAGCATATTTTTAATGGCTTATATAACTTTTCTAACCGGACTTGCAGTAATTCCGCCTTATTATAGGTACTTTGAAATGCCTTTTTAAACGGACTGACCGCACTCGGTTTCTTAAAAGCTAAAATATCTCTTCGTATAAGGTTTTCAATATAGTCCCATTTTTAAATAGTGCTCATATGGCAGTCCCGTCCACTTTATTTATGTTGAAAGTCTGAACTGCAATTTCCAATCGAAGTTGATGTTATTTGCCAATTTAAGTTCTGAGAAGTTTAATACCTCATCACATTTAATTACTTTCAAGGTACGAATCACAATAAGGTTCCTCCTATTTCGACTGGGCCGACGGGGCTGTAAATCGTCATTTCGGTTTATCAGAAGCCTCTTCGTACAAAGTTTTTAGTAAAGGTCCCGCCCCATTTAAGACATTTTCAACGTCGTACCCGCAATATTGATCTGAAGTTGGTGCTCATTGCCATTTTTGATTCTCAGATGATTTATACTTCATCACCTTTGAAGTATCCTGAAGATTCAAATCCTCCTCATCCCACATAGAGTGTTCAGATATAGGCTTCAGCCTTTCCAATGATAAAGATTTTAGCCCTCGTTTCAGATTCTCAGTGAGGGATTCTTATTACAACTTCGAAAATTTCGGATCAGAGAGGTCAAAAGCCAAAAATCTGTTTCCAGCTTCAAATGCTGATATATTACAAGACAGTCAGGATATAACATGGCCCTTATTAAATAAAATTCGGAAGGAAAATTCTATAACAATTCCAATTTATTAAATTAAACATTGGCAGCTTAATCCTCCCACATTATTTCCATCCTCCTTCCTTAAATTATAGCTAATTAACAATTCTAGCTCCCTTTGTTAGTACAGCACACTGACCTGACAAGGGAGGTGTATAAACCCCCCGAACTCAAATCCCTGGCGGTAAATGGCTTTGAAATATTCATATTTACAATACTTAAGAAAACAAATTGGCTCTCTTGTCAACCGCACAATACGACGGCCTCTCAACCAAGAATGAACGACATTAAAAAAAGAACATCTTCGCCGATGTTCTTCTTCTTTTTCTTCGAGTAAACAATTGCAATTATAACATAATTAAGTGAGCGTACAATGTTTTTGTCTTTGACGTCATTGAGGCCACGATACGGCGGCTTGAAATACAAGAGCTATTTGCTTTTGCTGCTATCTATTCAGCACGTACTTGCAACATGTTGCATGTTCTAATAACAAACTGCTTGCTGTGTATTTTCCTAAAATCCTTTTGAAAATTTCATAAATTCATTAAAGCAAAGCCAGCACGCGACATTTAAAACACTTTTCTACAACAACAACAAAAGTTTAACCAAAAAGGATTGTGGGGCGCCCAATAAAAAAAATAATTTCTCCTCTAACCCTTACAGTTGGATATTTATTTCTTAAGCCAATTTCAGCTACCCCACCTTATGAAATATTAGACAAATGTAAGCATACCTCTCCGCACCCAAACTTCCCTCTCACTTCGTAAAGGGTTGTATTTGAAACAATTTCATTTATTCTTCCCTGCCGCAGCCTTGTGTGGCGTCAAAGACTTTTGACTTTTGGCGCTTTGTGTGTGTGTGTCTTCCGTGCATTCCCTGCCATGCCACACAAATAGCAACAACAACACTACACACGTCCTCATCATCATCATCGCACTTGGTTGAAGTGTCTTTATACTCTGAGTTGCTGCTACAGTGCAGTGATGTGTGTTGTGAGCAAACCCGACAGACCAACCAACAACAACCACTCTTTGGTGGTTTTGTTTATTTGTTGTTGCCGGATAGCTGGAATGGCAGCAGCTTTGGCAACATTTTTTGTTTATTGCTTTTGATGTTCGGTGAGAGAGAAAGAGTTCCGATTCCCCCACATTCAACCCATTCACAAGAACAACGACAACAGCAACACCCACCATATGTTTGCAGCCTTGCTTTGGAAATCACACTCCCCCCTACTCCTCTCCACCCCACAACTCAGCGATTTATGATTGTTGTTGTATAAATCTTATGAATTATGTTGTTATTATTTTAAGAGCATGAACGCGTACGGGCAAATGTTCAGTTTGTAGTTTGAGTTTGTTATTAGTAATAATCGTCAGGAGCAACAGCAACAACAATAACAACAACAACTACCACAATGTTTCAATATTAATTACAAAACATAATTCAAATACAAATGTTGCTCAAAACGATTGTGTGTTAACTCTATGACCTCGTCTGCGGGGTCTCTTTTTTTAATTAGCTCTAATTATAGAATATTTTCAGAGGATATCTGGATAAACGTGGAACTATTATCCACAATAGTCCGATTAATTCATGATTGGAAAAAACAGTTGAAATCGCCAATACGATACCGTTTATAACCCCAATTATTATGAAACCTAAACCTCGTAATTACGTATCCTTGCCGCTTCGATCACAACTTAGAAGAATTCGTCTCTATAGTTCTTCCTGATAATATCTACATAAGATAGTGGCGTTATCCGCATTTTCTGAGGTCTTCATTCGAATATTTTTCTTTGGGTTCATAGACTTTTCGGAAGATTTTGTGACTGAGTTCGTCTTTTTGATACTAGGCCAGATTTGTTGGCCTCTGTCCATGAATTCTCGGGGCAGTCTTGTGAGGAACTGCTGGGAAAGTCAGGTATTCCTTCTTGATTTCTCGGTTCATCTTGGGCAATGTTCTCCTTTGAGCCCCAGAGAGCTGCTTTTTCGTCGTACCAGATAACGGGAAGCTCTTTTTTCTTCACAAGTTAAGAGTTTGTCAGGTCTTCGGAGTCTTCTTGATTATGGAGCCAGATTTGTTACCTTATTCTCCGTAGTTTAAGAATTCATCAAGTGGAGGAAGTGAAGGGAAAATCAGGGCATCTTTCTTGATTTTTTGGTTCATCCTATCATGTCTGCATTTTCACTTGAAGACGTTATGTCGGCCTTGCTTTTCGGCTCGAAATATGAGTTTGAGTACCCGTATGTCTTGGAAGTTGGAGGGAAAATGTTTCCCAGACTTTACGGACGTTTCCATGGCTGCGCTCGTTTTCTTGTTCTTGGAATAGCCTCTTTTGACTTTAGATTGATCTTCGGCTTGATCGTCGTACAAGAAGACGTGAAACTCTTTTTCTTCTACACAAGTTAAGAATTTATCAATTCTTCCGGAGATCTAATTCTTTTCGCTTTCGAGGAAGTTATGGGGATGGCAGGATATCTTTCTTTATATGTGGGTCCATCCTCACCAATATTCGCCTTTGAGCGCCAGAAAGCTGCTACTTGTGTGCCTCATTCTATATTCCAAGACGTTCTAGACCTAGATTTGACTTGAGGTTGATTTTCGTACAGGCGACGGACAGATTTTTTCTTCTTCTAAATTTGTCAGGTCTTCCGGAAATTTTTGCCGCTTTCGAGGATGTGCTGAGAGCGTCACTTTTTCTGCCGCCTCTTAACTTCTTCTAGATCTTCTCTCATCCACCATTCCAAGCCGTTATGCCCTTCTTTCACTTGTTTTCCGATTCGGAATATGAGTTTGATTATTCGCCAGTCACGAAAGGTTGGGTCAAGATGGCTATTCCCGTGTGGTTCTTCTAGTGCTGCCATTGACAGCAGTAGTACTCAAGACAATCGAAGAGACAAATGGATTGTCCTGTGTATTACTTCCTTACAATTTCAATCAAGATATCGCCTTCAAAAACGTTTTATTAAAAAATTCGTTTAAAAATACCACCAATAAACATTGGTCTTATCTTCGATATGCAAAAGAGGAAGGACGGAGGAAGGAGGACGTCAGCATTTCATTCAAATTTGCAACAAATACGATACAGTTTAAAGAACCCTTAGTTCTGGCAAGTGGTGGTTGATGGCTTGTTGACTGACTGGTAAGTGAAGCGTTTAATTTTCTTCGCAAAAAAAGAGGAAAGTCGCAAAAAACCTGGCCACTACAAAATTACTTATATAAATAGAAAACATTTTCAGCAAAGATTTTTATCTATCCCTTGAGTCACGAGCCAGTGTTCCTTCTTTTTTCGCAACATTTAAATAATATTTTATCAGCAAATATTTGGCAACATGCAAATTCTGTTTTTTTTTTGCTAATTTCAAAAGGAAAGGGTGTGTTCGCCTCTTCGCCCCCTCCCTCCCTTCTTTATTTTTTTCTTGTCTAAGATGAGTTGTATGTCAAAACTGTCAAATTGGTTTCATGTACATTTCACTTACGCCTTAAATCCCTGGGATCCGAGGCATTGCTGCGTGGACTTTCACCCTTTTCAGCATCGTAATCAGTTGAGCCCTCCAAAGATTCGTGGGATGTACATGTGGGGCTGGCGGAATCGGTGCGAAAAGAATCATTGCCATTAAAAAGATTCTAAAAAAAAATTGGAAATAAAAATAGAAAATCAAAGTTAAAATAAAATTTAGAGAAAATATGCTGCCAACACCACTTACCTGATCCAATGAAATGCCAATGTATTTGGGCGGTGAAAATGCCGATGGCAATTGAAAATTACCCAAAACCGACGGCTTGCCCAGTGCGGCTCGTTCACTGGCAAAATAACTGGCCGCCGCCGCTGAACCATTTGCCGCCAGCATATTGTGATTGAGGGTCTGCAGGAGATGTGGATGGAAGCTGTGCAGCAAGTGGGAGCCATAACTGCCGACTAGTGACATGTTGTGGAGATCTTTGGCGTCAGGTAACTGCAAAAAAGGGTACTGCGAATGAGAAGAGTTAGGCAAATATCTATGTTGAGGCAAAGATTACAAGGATTATAAGGAATTTTCCCCTCAAACACTCACATACACAAACACACATGCATGAATTTTTTCATGTTACATTGATTGGTTTAGAGTTTATTGACAACTTAAGCCAACAAAGGGGTCAAGTGGAGGTGGAAAATATTGGATTATTATGCAAAAAAATGGAAACAAATCATATGGTCAGTTTGGAGATAATCCTAGTTTTTTGCGGACTATTGATGAGGGTAAGGGGTTGAAAAACAAACAAATAGCCAATAATTTGTTTGGGTGTTTTAGAAAGAAAAAAAGTGATGACCGATGATAAAGTTTTTGTTCTGCAAATTGCATATTTTATTGGAATTTTTGAATCCAATCATATTTTCACAACAGGGCGTCAATGTATCCCTATATGGGGGCTACTCTAAAAATTGGGGCGAAAATGATAATTTTAAAGCGTATACTAAACTTCGCGTTGGTATCCAATGATAATCCAAAATACTAAATAACAGCCAATCGGGTCGGAAACATATCCAAAATACCGTATATTTGCAGGTACCGTCAATGGGGGCTAATCTAAAAATTTTCCCAATATTGAGAACCGAAAATACCACATTACAGTCAAACTAGTTGATAGTGCTTTAAAAGTGGCCCCATATTCATAAGGAAGTCTATAGCAAAAACTTACTGAACTGAAGAAAAATAAAAAATAAAAAATTAAGTGAAATTGTAATTTTATATAGAAATATTTTGAAAGAATAATTAAAAATGTTGTTCAAGACTTTTGCCATTTTAGGAACTCTTTTCTCTTTCCAAGATTCCTGATCTCCTTACCTCCCTCCCCAAAACATACCGGAGTATTTTCAAAGTGGTTGACCACTTGCTTCTTTGCTAAATTTCCTAAAGTTCCTAACAATACCGGTGATAAATACCATGTAATTATAACTCAAACTGGGCAGGGAGAATAGAACACATCTGTACTACCTACGTTCACCAACAAAACTTGTGATAAACCCCATTTATTTTGTGGTTTTAAGTCTAAGCCCAGATACGGGTATTTGAATGGCTGGCTGGGTGCAAAAACAAAGCCAAGTGTTAATGGTTATCATTCAAACAGTTTTCATGTGAGCGCGAGGGGGGTTAGGGAGATAAGAGTTGGTTACTCTGTCGTTGGTTGATGGCTGTGACAAGTCATGCCACTGGCATGGTAAGCCTGAAGGGGATTCCTTGTTTTACTAAATCACAGCACCAGTATTTTGTTGTCAATACACACAGAAAAACTCCCCACCGCCACCACCACCAACCGGGAGTAATTGATGTTTATGTTGGTGATGTGTGTTTTCACACATTCATTGGGGGAGAGGAGGTAGGGGTATTTTTGGGGGAGCCTGATGTTACAGATTTGATAAGTGTTAATTTGTTGCCATAAAAAATTCGCACATTGTGTGTGTCTCTCCTAAAGCCTTTAATAATATTATAAAAAATTTACATTTACAATAAAGTTTTTTTTCGGAGTGAAAATCATGTAGCAATAATGTTTAAAATAAATTATGTCACGATTTTTATGAGTTTCTTAAATAAATCGCCCACAAATTGTAATCGAAAATACCACCAGAAGCTATACGACGATAGACGGACAGACAGACAAGTAGTTTTTTATGCAAATTTTCCACATAACAGACTTTTCCCATCAACAACATCTCACAGCACATCAAGTGGCATTCATGCGTGGCAGGGAAAAAAGCAATTTTCACTACAAAGGAAAATCGCAAAGAAAAAAATCATACCCCGCCGCCACCCTTTGCACCATGATACACTCCTCATATATGTGATGAGCCCATCCATATATGGAATGGCTTGTAAATGATATGTTTAGTGGGTTATTGTCATACCCACATATCCGAAAGAAATTACTTTTCAAACATCATCAGTTACATCCTTTTTGTTGTTGTTGTTGGGAAGAAACAACACCCATTACACGATGTAACAACAACCCCCCTGCTTGCCATTTCTAAAAAAGGCAAAAATAACAGCATCACACTTTCACCCAGCATGTAGGCAGAGAATCTTTACCCCCTTTTGGGTTGCTCTATAACATTTTGTGATTTTTTAAACGTTGTTCAGTCCGGGCCGGGTTGTTGGCAATAATCGTTGGATGATGGGTCGTTGATATAATGACAATATTTAAATCCTTTGCCATAAATAACAAACAACACAATCGGCTTTAATATGTGCAAAATACTTTTTTCTAAGTTTTAAAAAAGAAAATGATAATCATGTGTGAGAAGTAAACTATTAGGGGGAGGAATCTATTTAAATTTGAACACAAATATCGCATTTGGATTTTTTTGGAACTTGATTTTTTTAGATAATGGTTTTGATAGCACAACTATATGTCCTATTTTGTGATTGTCTTCATCCTGAATAATTTCATAAAATTCAGATAAATAATTTTTATTTATGTTTTTCTAATTCAATTGTCCACTTTATTTCCACCTATAATTTCTATACACGAAAAAGGACACACATTATTTATTTTTCTAGTCATAACAATGAAATTATGGCTTTTAATATCCAGCGACCATATTTGTTATGGTCACAAAATAAATGTCCACATAATTTAGCATGAAAACATAGATTATGAGGCGGACTCAAAGGTAGCCATATTCAACTTTATGTTACCACTTGTGTGTTGAGAAGGGGAAATTCAGGAAAATACTCCGTTTTGTAAATATGATAAATGCGATTAATATGGAAGCACCACCTGGGATGTTTACAGGGGAGTACGGGATAGTTTTAGGTCAGAAGTAGTAATCAACTGTGATTAAGGGATACTTTAAGCGAATCTGAGAATATTCATAATTTTCGAAAAATAGTTTCGGTCGGACTTCTTATTCCTAAAATCGTTCCGTACTTTTATACGCAGTCTAACTTCATCAACACTTTGTACATTGCAATATTTCTTTCAAACACAGTTCAAGTTCGAAGATGGGGAATATCGGCACACTCCTTCTGGTACCTCCCCACAAAATTAATGTATTTTTACCAAGCCTAGATCAAATCCGAAGGTGATCTGCCCTCCCCCATAAAGGGGAGAAGCTCTTGTATCAATATTAAATCCCAAACCTCTTTGATGAAAACATATACTTTATATAAAACGACTGGTGTGTAACTTCGAAGATCTCCGCAAACTAATAAAGACGAAAAACCACAGGATTCGAGAAAGACGGAGGATGTATTTAAAAAAATATATTCCTCATTCGATTTGACTGTAGGCATGTTATCTCAAAAGTAACCTGCCACAAATAAATATATAACGTTTTTTCTTCATTAACTTTAGAATTACAAGAAAAAACCTTAAAAATTTGACCTATGGTGACTTTATCCTTCTGGGTTCTTAATATAATGGACAAGGGCTTTCATCCTCGTATGGAATTTATAACCCCCAAAACCTTGTTGCTTAGTGTAATAAGTAATGCCTGTGATATTTTCAAGAACAATGAGGATATAAAAATATGTCCAGTCATAATTTTCTATGAAAATACTCCCCTCAACAAGTCCCCTCACACAAGTCATCCATGTTATGATCCGCTACTTGTAAACATCTCAGCTGTTTAAATGAAATTAAACATAAATAAAACTTCATGTTTCGTTTTGTTGTATTTAATTTAAAATGTCTTTTGCAATAACAAAAAGTCATAAATCTTGTCGATTTTCCAACATTGTTATTATGCTTAAACATTGTTCAACATTAGACTGGCGGTCTGTCCGTCTGACTGCCTCTCTGACATCTAAGAGACAATTGAAACAACTAACATTCAATTATTACAACAAAAACCATTGAATAGCTAAATAGTGGATTTACAAGCATTCATGGCTAATAAATTCCGCAGACAACAAACGTTGCCGCTGCAACGCCAAGCGTTTCGATGTCCAAAGCATAGTACAACGCTAACAAAAAATGCTAATAAAAAATGACAACAATGCCATGATTCGCAATTGATTTTAATCTGATTTCAAAAACTTACCCCAGATAAAGTTTTTTCAGCAACAGAAAATAAAATTTACATGGCTAATGATAACTAAACACAGCTGGGGTATGGGTTGGGCAGGTCTAGCTGGTGTATCATGGCCAGACAATGTCCTCTTCCCCCTTCTCCTCTAAAAATGTGTATGAGGAGGATTTATTTGTTTTAAGTATTAATTTGAAATGAGAGTAATATGCAAATCGCACTTTGTTACAAGGCTCTGACAACGGCGACGGGATAGCAAGTGGCTTAACACTTGGCTTTTTGTATTTTTTTTTTTTGTCAAAATTTTGTTATAGCGGTTTTTCATTACAAATGATGCATATCACACACACCAGCCAAGCAATTTGCAAATAAGCGCAGCAACAACCCCTCAACGACAAGTAACAAATCTTTTGCGACAGATAGACAAATAAACAGCCATACAACCAGTTAGGCAGTCAGTCAGTTTGTATTATTGAGACAACTAATAATGGCAAAATGTAAACAATAGTCAAATATTTGTCATCAAAACGATGAACACAGATAATAATGCAATGCAAAATCCAATTTTCCTCGTCGTTCGCCGTTTTTTGTTTCTTCTGGGGTGATAAAAACCACCCTGTATATCCGTTCAAAGTGTTGACAATTTAACACTAAATAGATCGGCAAATATAACGATGTGGCAAACAGAACCAAACAGACATACACACCATACCTAAATCACTGAAATTACCACTGTCTAAAGATGGATGAATGAGAAGTAGGAGGAGTAGCACAGTAAAATTATATTTTGAAGAGAGAGGGCGAAAACCTTTGTAAGGACACCTGCTAACCATATTATTGTTCCACTTTGGCTTTTGTTCCTGAGGCTCTAATGAATTATGCCACAAATGAATTATGATTGTAATATTTTATTATTTATGTAATTATAGACAACAATTATCGCTTGAAATT